ACCAAACAAGAGATAGAGAACATTATGAAATGCAAAATGGACAATTTTGATTACATTAAATTGAAAGGTTTTTGCACAAACAAAGCCAATGCAACCAAGATTAGGAGGGAAGCAGAAAACTGGGAAAGAATTTTTGCAACTAGTGTCTCTCATAAGGCCTCATTTCTCAAAATATATAGAGAACTAAGTCAAATTTATGAGAATATGAGTCATTCCCCAATTGATAAATGGTCAAAGGATATGAACAGGCAGTTTTCAGATGAAGAAATTAAAGCTATCTATAGTCACACGAAAAAATGCTCTAAATCACTATTGATTAGACAAATGTAAATCAAAACAACTTTGAGGTACCACATCATACCTATCAGGTTGACTAACATGACAAAACAGGAAAAGGATAAATGCTGGAGAAGATTTGGGAAAACTGGAACATTAATATGTTGTTGGTGGAGTTGTGAACTGATCCAACCATTTTGGAGAGCCATTTGGAAGTATGCCCCAAGGGCTATAAAAATGTTCATACCCTTTGACACAGCAATACCATTTCTAGGACTGTATCCCAAAGAGATCATACAAATGGGAAAAGGACCCACATGTACAAAAATATTTATAGCAGCTCTTTCTGTGGTGGCAAAGAATTGGAAATTGAAGGGATGCCCATCAATTGGGGAATGGCAGAACAAGTTGTAGTATATGCATGTGATGGAATACTATTACGCTATAAAAAATGATAAGCAAGCAGACTGTAGAAAAGTCTGGAAAGACCTGTATGGACTGATGCTGAGTGAAATAAGCAGAACCAGGAGAACATCATACACAGTAACAGCCACACTATACGATGACTAACTTTGATAGACTTAGCCCTTCTCAGCAATGCAAGGATCTAAGACATCTCCTAAAGTCTCATGATGGAAAATGCTATTCGCATCCAGAGAAACAACTATGGAGTCTGAATGCAGATCAAAGCATACTATTTGCTGGTTTTTTTCTTCTGTTTTGTTTCATTTTCTCTTTCTGGTGGTTCCTCCTATTAGTTCTAATTCTTCTTTACAACATGACTAATGTGAAAATATGTTTAATAGGAATGCATATGTAGAGCCTATATCAGATTGTGTGCCATCTTGGGGAGGGAGGTGAGAGGAGGGGGAGAAAATTTAAAACTCAAAAGCTTATGGAAGTGATTGTTGAAAACTAAATAAATTAAAAAAAAAATGAAAAAAATAAAGAGAATCAGTGACAGAAGAAAAAAGAAAAGAACCCCTTAAAGAGCAGAATAGGCTAAATAAAAACTTACTGAAGAAAATAATTGTTTAAAAATCAGAACTGGGAAAGTGGAAGCTAATGACTTCATGAGACATCAAGAAACATTAAAACAAAGTCAAAAAATAGGAAAATGTGAAATATCTCACTGGAAAAACAAATGACTTGGAAAGAGGTTGAGGAGAGATAAATGAAGAATTTTTTGATTACCTGAAAGCCACAATAAAAAAAAAAAGAGCCTGGACATAATATTTCAAGGAATGATTAAGGAGAACTTCCTTGCTATCTTTCATCCACCAAGTAAAACAGAAAAAGAAAGAATCCATGGACCACTTCCTGAAAGAGATCCCAAAATGAAAACTCCCAAGAATACTGCAGCCAAATCCCAGACTCCCAAGTCAAGGAGAAAATACTGCAAGCAGCCAGAAAGAAACCATTCAAATATTATGAAGCCACAGTCATGATCACAAAAGATTTAGTGGCTTCCATGTTAAAGTTGCTGAGGGCTTAGAATGTGATATTCTGCAAGGCAAAGGAACTAGGATTACAACCAAGAATAAGCTACCCAGCATGACTGAGTACAGTCCTTCAGAAGAAAAAATGGATATTTAATGAGACAGAGGACTTTCAAGCATTCCTCATGAAAAGACCAGAGCTGAACAGAAAATCTGACTTTCAAACACAAGGCTCAGGAGAAGCATAAAAAAATAAACATGAAAGAGTATCATGAGCGACTCAATACAGTTAACTGTTTGCATTCCTATATGGAAACATGATCCATATAACTCCTAAGAACTTTATCATTATTAGGGCAGTTAGAAGGAGTCCTGAATTATTTAGGAATAGGTGAGAGGATATTTTCTGAATAGCATCAGCCTTACAGTTACCATTCTAGAAACCCCAAGTCCAAGAGTTCTGGAATCTAGCCTTTGAATGAAAGATGAGTTACTGGTTAGCACCTGTTTCTTGGAGAAAGGAGATTGAGAATGTAAAATGGAAGACATTTCCTCCTGAAACTGGTGGAGCAGCCAGGGAGTTTAGATCATAACACAGAGGTCTAAAAGACCTGGAATTTGCCCTTTTATTTTTTTTGGTTAAGTGATTTGGCCAGGGTCACACAGCTAATGAGTGTTATGTGTCTGAGACCACATTTGAACTCAGGTCCTCCTGACTCCAGGGCCAGCGCTCTATCCACTGTGCCACCTAGCTGCCCTGGAATTTGCCCTTTGCAATTACTTTGAATTATCTGGACATTTCAAGTCAAATGGAAAGGGAATTTGACTTTCCAGCAACTCCAAGTGTGGTTTCCTTCCAGGGGGAGTCTAACCTGTCATAATAAGACCATAAGGCTAGATGCCTGTATTGGTCTCAGTTGGGAAGTGGGACTCACCAGAATGTTGGGAACTTGGCTCCTTAGCAAACTTAAGTGTTTGCCACCCCAAGAAAGTCCTAGACCCAAGCTGCTATACAAATGAGGCAATATATAGGCACTGAGAAAAGCTGGAACTCACTGGGGAGAAGAATTATATTTCTTTATGGACTACTGAAAGTCCTTTGTATAATATTTTCTGTATTTTCTGGGGGTGCAGTGTAAAATGAAAGCTCTCCTGAGCCAGATCCATGCATTTTTACCTTAAGTGTTTGTATAGATATAAGAACCCTTTTACTGATATCTATTTTACTGACATCTCTAGTCAAGCTACAGTCTGATATTTCCAAGGGGCAATTCTGGGTGAGGGTAATATGAACCAAAGACTAATACTTTTAAGAAGGTGCCAACTGAACCCAGTTTGTGTAAGCCCAGAGCCTGGGAATACTGGGTTACACCCAAAACTACACTAATCTTTATAAAGGTATGTACATTAATTTAAGCTGGGAGGAGAAGTAGTGGCATTGAAAACCATAACGTGATCAAAGGAACTAAGCTATAAGGTCTCAGAAGAAAAGTAGAAGTCATTAAGTTAGATCAGGCCTGTGATACCATACACTGCTTATGTACAGTCCCCTACATTACAACTCTGTACACTCCAGTGGCTACTTGCTTACACTTTCCAGGTCCACGTCTTGATTGACAGTATGTTCCTCTGAACATAACTGATGTGAATGTGACACTTCTTCTCTGTTCCTACTACTATCTGGGGAGAGAAGACATGGGTCCATATCAAATCTAGAGTTTTCTCTTGCCATAAATGTTAAAAATCATCATAGAGGCCCTTTTCAACTACTGACCATTAGGCTTTGGGCAGAACTAATTGCCTCCTTACATACTTTCTGTGGGGTATCTTACTATTCCTCATATACCAGGGGTTGTAGATGGGCTCCCTAGCCCCCCACTCAGAGAACAGAGGGAATTCTTCTGATTGGTTCCTGGAGGCTGCAGATGCCTCCAAGATGACAAGTAAGAGCCAATGGGGATGGACTCTCATTGGACAGTCCTGAGCTTGGAGCTGGGCGTGTTGGTTTGAATCCTGGCTCTGCCGCCTTAGTGCCTGAATGACCCTGAGCAAGTCACTTAACCTCTAAGCCTCAGTTTTCTCATCTGAAAAAGAACTAGATGACCTATAATGTCCTTTCCAGCTCTAGATCTATGAACCCATGAAATTCTATATTGTTTCCTAAATAAAAGATATTCAAACTATTAAAACTATTTTATTTTAATTAAGTAATTAAGAGGAATTAACTTCAAAATTCAGTTCAATATGTCCCCTTCCAGAGCTCAGTCACTGCAGAAGGATTTTAGAGGAGAAATAATTAGTGCTTGTCTTAGATCATCCTAAATGGAGAACAGGGTGAATGGAAGATGAACACATTACTTACTGGTGTGAGAGGTCCTTCTGCTTGAGCCTCCATTGGGCTGGTGGGTGTGGCTGCAAGAAACTGGCCCGCAGCTCCAGTCTGGAGTTCTAGTCTATCTGCATATTGCTCTGACGCTGCAGTGGCAGGACACGCCACCGACAGTGCCAAGACCACACTGGGGGCTCCATTTTTTTTATGATCATCTTCTACCCAAGGACCTAGTTTATGCTGTTCTTCTTGAGGAGATTCCTCGAGGATTTGCAGCACCTCAGGTTCCTCATCTGAAGGGCTTCCAGTTTTATGCCCTAAAGCCCCATTCGTCCTGAAATCATGAAGGTCCCGCTCCTTGTCCACAATCACCCAGTCCTTGGAATCAACCTCCTGCTGGCAGGAGCTCAGGTTGACAGCTATGAATCCATTGCTCCCACCACCATCTGCCTGCTCTGGAGAGTTGGCAGACGCAGGCTTAGAAGCGTCTGGGAGGTACTCTTCATCATAGTGCCAGATGTGGTCAGTACGGGTCACAGCAGGAGCACAGGGCTTATGAAGAAGAGAAGCAGGGGGAACTGGTTCCTTTTCCACACTGGAGTCTTTCTGCATTTTTTCCAAGCTTAAGGGAATGGAAAGAGAAAGAAATTACTCAAAATTCCTGGCTGGGGGACAGGAGGGGAAACTGCTTATGCAGTTGATAAGCTCTCAACAGATCATTTATTCAAGTGACAGCTTCCCAACAACAAAACACAAGCATCAGTTTGCCACATGGAGAGTGGCCTGACCACCCTGCTATGTTGATCTAATTAGGGTCTGCTCTGAGAAACAGTCAAGGACAGAAGGAGGTGTCTTTTCACAGAGATCCAGGTAACAAATCAAGAGAAAAAGTAAACTGTATAACCTTCTCCACTCGGCTCTGACAGTGTAACCAAACTAACCCCAAATTCTTCCTGTGAGTAGGAGAAAATAGCTGTTAAAGCTGTTTCTGCCTGATCAGAGCACTACAAAAGACAATGAAAAAAAATGCATGCCACTCTACATAGAGTAAATATTTTATGAATCTGTTCAATTCCTATACCTGTATGCACGTGTTTTTTCATATTTATATATGTATATCTCTAGACATACCTTCAGTGATAGTGTTTTAAAGAAGGACAGATAACTGTTCAAGTGTCCTGCATACCATACACAAGTCTGGTGGTGATAAGTGGTAACAGATTGTATGTAGAGTTAAGGTAAAAAGTACCAGTATAGGAAAAAAGAAGATTGTTGATAAGACCAGTTCCATTAAAGTCATTTCCCACAGGGACTAATGCAATCCTCTCCTAACTGATCTTGTTTCTATCAATTCACATTCCACAAAAGCTGCCACATTAATATTCCTAAAACATAGATCTGACCATGTCATACCTCTGTTGAAAAAGATGGGTTTTTCTGGGCAGCTAGGTGTCGCAGTGGATAGAGCACTGGCCCTGAAGTCAGGAGGACCTGAGTTCAAATCTGTTCTCAGACACCTAATACTCACTAGCTGTGTGACTCTGGGCAAGTCACTCAACCCCAATCACCTTACAAAATAAAAAAGGTGGGTTTTTTTTTAACTGTCTCTAGGATAAAATAGAAGGTCCTCTGGCATTGAAAGCTTTTCATAATTGGGTTTCAACCTGTCTTTTCAGATTTCATCTCCTCCACCTCCCCCCACCCCCAGCCCCATCCACTACACACGCACTCTCTCTATCCTAACAAAACTGGACTACTTGGTGTTTTCCATGCCCCAAATTCCATCTCCTGCCTTCAAGCCTTTGCACAGGCCATTCCTCAGACATTCCTAGAACTCTTTCCCTTCTCACCTGGGCTCTTGGACTCCCCAGCTCCCTCCAAGATTCACTTGCTATGGCTATGTGAGGCCTTTCCTGATTCCCTCAGTTGTTATAGCTCTTCCCACTCAATGCCAAAATTACTTTGCATGTATTTTGTTTTTCTTTCTCTGGATAAATGATGTTGACTCCAAGTCAAGCTTCTTGAGGTTCATTTTTGCCTCTGTATCCCCAGCACCTAGCACATGCCTGGCGCACAGTAAGTGCTTGATAAATACTTGTTGAATTGAAGTTCCTCAGTCTTCTCATTGCACATTACTTCCATCTCTATCTCTATTTAACCACTATTTGCAGCTATAAAAGAGAGGAAAGAAGTGTTGTTGATCTGAAAGTGGGTTTTATGCTGCCTGTACCAGATATCAAAATTGTAAGTTATGGCTCTGCTCAGTCTCATACTCCCCACAACCTTCTAACTCCAGCCCCAAGCTCCATCCCTACACTGTTGTCTCTCAGCAGCTGACCTTGCTTGCTACTATATGGAGAAGACTTAGGAACTTCCTCATTTCCCTTCTGCTACATCTCAAAAGTTTTTGATACAGTCATTCATCCTTTGCTCTAGTCATAGGGGACAAAGTAGCATACTCCTTGAAAAAGTAAACCTTATCAGTCTGGCCCTTAATCTGATCCCCTCCTATCTAATGCAGGACCTTGTTCCCTTGGTGTTTCCATGCTCACACTCTCATTTTCACAAAATAATTGATCAGGAAGATCCTCTAGATGCCATCTATTCTAACCCATTATTGATCACCTTTAAATCTATGAGTGGTCATCCTGCCTTTGTTTGAAGATTTCTGGTGAGGGGGAACGCGCTGCCTCCACTGGCATTTCATTCTGCTTTTGGAGATCTTTAATTAATAGAAAGTACTTTCTTTATATTAAGTATAAACCTGCTCCTCTGCAACTTATGCCCATTACTCCTAGTTATACTCTCTGTCGCCAAGGAGAATAAATCTAAGCCTTCTTCTACAAGACTGCTTTTCTAATAGTTGATGGTAGCTATCATGTTCTTCCCTAATTCATTTCTTCTTTAGGTTAAATATCAACTGATCCTCATAGGGCACAACAGTCTTTTGATTTTTCACTCTCTTAGTTTCTTCAATCTTCCCTTAGCCCTTCTATCTTCTTAAATGATTGTTCTGGGTCTCACCTCCCTCTCATTGCTTAACTTTGAGAAATTCTTTGCCTATATCTACTCACCACCAAGTCACTCCACAACCACCAGGAATTCTATTCCTACTACTCTACTAAAATAGCTCTCTTGTAGGTTGCTAATGACCTCTTAATTGCTGAATCCACTGGTCTTTTCTTAGTCCTTACCCTTTGTGACATTTAGCAGATGGTTCATACAAATCTGTTTTGTTGAATGAAAATAACATTTTGCTAAGTAGGTATTTTGTACTTAAAAATGACTACATATAATAAGGAATACAAAAGAAGCAAAAAATATACTGAAGGTTAGAAATGTTTTAATAAACAAAGTTCTATAATTACATCAGTCTTGGCAGTTAGTCTTAACAACAGAATAAATTAGTTAATCCCTTCTGTTAACTCTTACTGAATAGAACTGCCTCTAAAAGTTCTACTTTGATGTCTGAAGCCCAAACCTTTGTTTCCTCAGTCATTTCATCTTTTACCCACCACATGTCTCATTGTGGCAGGGATTCTTGGAGGATATGCAAACAGAACAGGAACTATGGCACATTCTATAAGAATAGAGCGTGGTCCCAGAGATGGACTTCTGATGGTCTCAGCTTTCTGAGACCAACAGAACCAGAGACAGAGAGGCTCTTCACCACTAGGCTGGCCATGGCCACCTATGAAACAACAACAACAACCAATGGTCCTCAATCCCATGCTGAGGATTATAGAAAAGGGGCAGGGGTGCCAAGAATCACAAGATTTACAGACAATAACATTACCTTCACTGTTAGGCATTTTAAATGTGAGGACATTATCCAATGAACAACAGATTCAATTAATTCAACTAGAAACATGTATTAAGTGCTTACTGTAAGAAAAATACAGTGTGAGGTGCTGGGGCCAGGTGCTGTGCAAGGTCTTGGAGGTAGCTGCATTGGCAGCAGCTTCAGAAACTCTAAGACTATGGACAGTGGGGGTGGGAGGGTGGGTCAGACAACTAGTTGAAAGGAGATTGCAAGGGACCTTTTGCTAAAGCTGATTCCCTTGCTGCATTGTCCATATACAGTTCTGGGCTGCAGCCTCAGGGCCAAAAGGCATGATAGCAATGGGCAGAGGAGAACAAGGGCCCAGGTCATGGTTCCAGGGTAGAGAGAAATGCTAAGGTCACTTATAAGGCAAGGGGATAGGGACCCTGGTCTCAATTCCAAATGGGGAGCTGAAGGAGTGTGGGAGACACCATCTCAGTTCTCAGGGCTAAGAGGAGTGCTGCTGCTGGTGGCTGCAAAGAAACAATGTCCCTTCCTGAGTAAAGACCAGAGCATAGATCAGAAGGGCAGTGACCACACCTCTCCTTAGATCATACCATTCTGGAAACACTAAAAACATACAAACCTCCAGAGCTAGCTCTGAAAACAAAAGCAAGAAAGGCCTGAAGCTTGAGACACTGGCCCCCTCCACCCAGGAACAAAGCTTTAACATTCACATAAGTTATAAGTCAAGGAATAGTCTGGAAAAAATGAGCAAACAACAACCAGAAGAACTTGACCATAACAAGTTACTATGGCGATAGGGATGATCAAGACATAAACCCAGAAGATAACAATGTCAAAGCATCTACATTCAAAGTCTCAAAGGAAAATGTGAATGTTTATACACTCAAAAAGAATTCCTGGGAGAGCTCAAAAAAGGATTTTAAAAATCAAATAAGAGAGAAGAGGAAAAACTGTACAAGAACATTATGAAAGGAGTCAACAGCTTAGTAAAATGGACACAGAAAATACTGAAGAAAATAGTATTTAAAAAACAGAACTGGCCTACTGATAAAAGAGGTACAAAAATTCACTGAAGAAAAGAACTCCTTAAGAAGCAGAAGTGGCCAAATGGAAGAGGAGGTACAAAAGCTCACTGATGTAAATAATTCCTCAAAAATTAGAACTGGGTAAGTGGAAGATAATGATTCCATGAAACTTCAAGAAACAATTAAAAAACCCCCAAAAGAACAAAAACAATAGAAGAAAATGTGAAATATCTCACTGGAAAAACAACTGACCTAGAAATACATCTAGGAGAAATAATTCAAGAGTTATTGGACCATGTGAAAGCCATGAACATAAAAAAAAAGCCTAGACATCACCTTCCAAGAAAGTAACAAGGAAACTGCTGCCCTGATATCCAAGAACCAGGGGGTAAGACAAAAACTTAAAGAACCCACCAATCACCTCCTAAAAGAGATCCCAAAATAAAACTCCCAGAAATATTACAGACAAATTATTGAGCTCTCAGGCCAAGAAGAAAATATTGCAAGCAGCCAGAAAGAAATAATTCAAATATGGAGCCACAGTTGGATTATACAAGATTTAGCAGCTTCCACATTAAAGTGTTACAGGGATTAGAATATGATATTCTGGAGGGCAAAGGAACTAGGATTACAACCAAAGATAACCTATCCAGCAAAACTGATTCGGGGGAAAATAGATATTTAATGAAATAGAGGACTTTCAAGCATTCCTGATGAAAAGACCAGAGCTGAATAGAAAAACTGCCTTTGAAATACAAGACTCAAGAGAAGCATTAAAAGGTAAATATGAAAGAGAAATCATAAGGG